AGAGAGAGAGAGAGAGAGAGAGAGAGAGAGAGGAGAGAGAGAGGGTGGGGGAGAGAGAGACAGAGGAGAACGAAAGAGAAAGAGAGTAAGAAAAGAGAGAGAAAGAAAGAAAAAGATAAAGAAAAAGAGAGAGAAAGGGAGAGATAGAAAGGGACACACACACACACACACACACACACACACACAGAGAGAGAGAGAGAGAGAGAGAGAGAGAGAGAAAGAGAGAGAGAAAGAAAGAGAGAGAGAGAGAGAGAGAGAAAGAGAGAGAGAGAAAGAAAGAAAGAGAGAGAGAGAGAGAGAGAGAGAGAGAGAGAGTTAGTTTATAAATATGTGTACGCACACAAGCTCGTGTTCCTCATGGGAGTTCCTCTCCGACAAATGCTTATTAATTATTTCCGTTCTGGCGTTTTGCTGATGTATGTGTCCATTTTCTTCATTTCTCTGATTATTTTTTTCAACATTCTGAAGATGTTGTTGAAATTATTCCATGTATAATTATCTAGCGTGATGTGAGCCTGATATTTTGATTGCTGCGCAAAATGAGTCAGTGTCGGCTTGACTTTTACACTTCCGCTCCACAGTGGCAGAAATGGGACAGACTTTCCTATTTATCGCATGGGTTAAAAGCAACTAATTACCTCGATTTTTTTTTTATCTGGTGAATTGCATTTTGCGTTCACCACAAATTTTACCTTTTAGAAATAGGTGAGCAACTTTTTTCAGCAAATGCTTTCAAAACAAATAGGGGTAAATTATTATTTAAATAACAATGGACAGTTTTACACACCATAGAAATTATTGCTGCTTTTTCAGATCACTGCTATAAGCAATACTGTCGGAAAAAAAGTATATTATTTCGCCCTAAAAGAGATTTCTAATAATTTGGCTGGCAATTCGGGTCCCTCTGAAGTTGTAAAGAAATCTAATAAGGGGCTTCCTTTGGGGGATCGAGTCAGGTCAGGTCGATTTGCTAGCCAGATTGATGGCGCAAAGCGGCTATCGTGGCATAAGTCGATCGGGCCCGACTCGTCGCCTCAGAAACAAACGCTTTTGTCTTCAGGTGACGAGTGGGGCGATCGCCTCCTACCCGACCCGACCCGACCCGATCCCGTCCGCAGTGCCCCCCCCCCCCCCGTATAAATGCTACTCCAAACACCAGACTGTTTGTATTAGTTGCATGTCTCGTGTAATTCTCTGGGACATACCCAATCCTACCAGGCTTACCAGCTAAATTTGTGTTCCCTCTACAGTTACAGACAAGCGCACGCGATTGTTCCTGCTTGTGGAGTGAGTAAAAATGACGTTTTTGATTGCGTTGACTCTCTTTTTGAGTTTGGCCAACGTGTCAGGTAAGCTATAACAGAGTGATTTGTGCCTTAATGTAACCTATTTTATTTGCTCGTTTTGATAGGGTTGTTGTTTTTTTTCCCTGTACCCTACAACAAATGTCGAGTTGCATGTCACCTTCGAACTCATTTTAAGAACCACCCTCAAGTACTATTGTTTTCTTCTCGCACGCACATTTTTTTTTTTTTACTATTTCATTCATCTTTCCATGTTGGTCTTAGTGCATGATTTTGTTCGTCTGTATATCTCAGATAGATAGATAGATAGATAGATAGATAGATAGATAGATAGATAGATAGATAGATAGATAGATAGATAGATAGATAGATAGATAGATAGATAGATAGATAGATAGATAGATAGATAGATAGATAGATAGATAGATAGATAGATAGATAGAGAAAGAGAGAGAGAGACATAGAGAGGGGGGAGAGGGAGAGAGAAAGCGAGAGAGAGGGAGAAGGGGGCAAAGAGGGAGTGAGTGAGAAAGAGGGAGAGAGAGAGAGAGAGAGAGAGAGAGAGAGAGAGAGAGAGAGAGAGAGAGATAGAGAAAGGGAGAGGGAGAGAGAGAGAGAGAGAGAGAGAGAGAGAGAGAGAGAGAGAGAGAGAGAGAGAGAGAGAGAAAGGGGGAAAGACAAAGAGAAAAATAGAAATGAAAAAACCCCCAGAGTAAAACGTGAAAGGGTCTTGGAAAGGCATGTAGTAAGTAGAAAGTAAGGAGATCGAAAGATTTTTTAAAAACACTAAAATCTGATTTTGAAACCGAAGGTAGAACGAGAAAGTGGAATAGAAAATCATTGTGAAATGAACGATCAAAATAACTACGAGTTCCCAGTTCTAGACCTGCGGGACGTTTCAGTACGGGAACGACCTTGGCATTAAAAGCCACCATTATTAACATGACTATACGTTACCCTAGAATTACAAAGCTCTATGTGTTCAGTGCCTTCAGTGCCTGGTTTTTAGAAATCTGACGTGAAAAACTTTGAGTTTTGCGTGTCTAGCTTTTTGAATATTGAAAACTATTCCGAATAATCTAACGGTTTTGATAGAGCAGTTAGAACCTTCTGTTTCTGACCCCTTGGACTTAGTAACTTAAAAGAGCCAAAAATAAAGTGAAGAATTTTGTAATTCCAAGGTGGCGAATAGTCAAAAATAAAACGGGAACATTCAGAATAGAGCAGCGATTTTTTTCTTCTTCTCGAGTTTGTGTTGGGACTGAGCCGACGTCGTGTAGAGGCTGTGAAAATGGTTCCAGTTTTCTCAGCAACAAAGATTACAGCCTGGAATTAAATACCTTGAGTTCGGGTTCTTAGTATGCATGTGTGTACACGGTACAATAGACCCCCCCCCCCGCTCCCCAACGCGCGCGCGCAAACACGCACGCGCACGCACACACACACACACACACGCGCGCGCGCGCGCACAAACACACGAACATCTACACCTGCACAGGTTTGGGGTAGGGGTAAGGTGGGAGAGAGTCTAGGAGAAGGAAATGAGGGAAGAAGAAGTAATTTAATATACACTGTACCATTCACTCCGATATAGAGAACGAGAGAGAGAGAGAGAGAGAGAGAGAGAGAG